CGTATCATATATACGGTTTGCATACAGTATATTCTGTCTCTTATACACATCTAGATGTGTATAAGAGACAGGGTTATTAGTAACCGTTCGTAATATTAAAATAAAAAAAAAATAAAACCAAGATTCGTATATACTTACGAATCTTGGTTTTTTCTGTACCTACAAAAAAAAAGAAACGATTAGTAAATCGTTCTTTAAAAAAAAGATAGTTTCGAAGAGATTCTTTGAAACTTACCTTTGGGATTCAGTATTCACGCCAGAACTGATATCCCTACAATAATATAAAAAAAAAATGTTAGAAATTAACGTTTTTTTTATTAAAGTTTCAAAAATCTCAAAACTTATCTTGGGATTTGGTATCCACGCCAGAACTGAATTCCTATATAAAAAATATTGAAAAAAAAATGTTTTTTTTATTAAAAAACGTTTTTAAAGTTTTGAAACATTTTGTTTCAAAACTTACCTGGAATATCGACGTCGCCAAATTCCTATATAAAAAAACAAAAAATAAAAAATGTTTTTTTATTATTAAAAAAGTTTCAAAATATTTCGAAACTTACCTGGAATATTGGCGTTCACGTTGGAGCTGAATTCCTAAATAAAAATGATAAAAAAAACATTTTTTTTATTAAAAACGTTTTATTAAAGAAGTTTCGAAACTTAGTTTCGAAACTTTACCTAGGAAACGGTATCCATGCCAGAACCGATTTCCTAAATAAAAACAAAAAAAAACGTTTTTTTACGTTAAAACGTTTTTTTTTAAGTAAGTTTCGAAATTTTTCAAAACTTTACCTAGAAAAACGGTATTCACGCCGGAACCAATTCCCTAAACAAAAAATATTTAAAAAAACGTTTTTTAGTTATAAAACGTTTATTTTTTTAAGAAAGTTTTGAAACTTTTCAAAAATTTACCTAGAGAAATGGTATCCATGCCGGAACTAATTCCCTAAACAAAAAATATTATAAAAAAGACGTTTTTTAGTAAAAAATGATTTTTTTTTAAAATAGTACTTCACCTGGGAAATGGTATCCATGCCGAAACCAATTTCCTAAACAAAAAATATTTTAAAAAAGGCGTTTTTTAGTAAAAAACATTTTTTTTTTAAGATAGTTTTGAAAATTTTTCGAAACTTTACCTGGAATATCAGTATCCACGCCGGAACCGATTTCCTATATAAAAAATATTAAAAAAAAAACATTTTTTAGTATTAAAAACGTTTTATTAAAGAAAGTTTCAGAATTTTTTTTTGAAACTTTACCTGGAATATCGGTATTCACGCCAGAGCCGATTAAACAAAAAAACCATTTCGAGAAAAAAAGATTTTTTTTTCGAAATAGTTTAAACTATTATTAATAGTCTAAATTTGGTAATAGATCAACTAATTACTGTGGCTGCGGCTTAGTACATTATATGTCACTGATCTGCTAAACTTTTGCCATTATTGATATTAATTAATTAAAAAATCGTTTAAAAATCGTCAAAAAAGTTTTTAAGTTGATTGTTTGTTATTAATAAAAATCAATAAAAAAAAATATTGGTCGATTTATGGATTTTTTTATGTTACAACTCAACCAAAAATTGACCTAAAATCGACCAGTTGATTTATGCCGAATTTTTTCTGATGCTGAATGTGTGATGAATCATGTGATCGATTTGCCGAATTGTTGCCGAAAAGTCTTATTGACGAAATAAATGATTTCGACCAGTGTGTTTCCTGCAAAATAAAGAAAATGTTAGGTAATGTTATTTTATAAAAAAAAAAACTTAATATATTTAAGTAGTTTTCAAAACATTCCGAATACTTACTTGGGATTTAATTTTTTTAAAATCTTCGAATTGAAGGGAGCTATGCTTCAAAATCAGACCTGAATTCCTACAGAATAAAAAAAATTAATGAATAATTTTTTTTATAAAAAATAATAAA